GATACTTTTCTTTTCTGAGTGGCTAAAAATTGATGAATGAGTTAGTCTGTGGTAAATTGAAATACTCTTGGGCTTAGGTTCCAAGAATCTGTAGAAAGTGGGAATTTTCTAGTATGTTTTTACATAAGCAAAACCTAAAAAAGAACCACTGGTTGGCTCAAACCCTATTATTGTTCTAGTCTCTAGTAATTAAGCAAATGATAGTGTAGCAGGCTAGTCTGCTGGCAGAATCTTACAGAGGGTGGGAAATAGATTTCTTAGCTTCTCTTGGCAGCTGAGCTATGATGTTCTTATTCTTAAATTTTATCAAAAGTTTTTCTATTCTCTGTTTTTCCATTCCATGCTGAGTTGTGTGTGTTTGTGGCTGTTGTTGTTAAGTAACTTCAAGTTGGTTCCGACTCATAGTGAACCCTGTATAGGGTTTCCAAGGAGTGACTGGTGAGTTTGAATCACCGACCTTACAGTCCAAACCGATTTTACAATCTAGTGCTTATCTTACAGCATCTAGGAGTATGGAAAGTATATGTTGGATTGGTAGAGGTACTTGGAAAAATGCAGAGTTGTAAAAATTGTGTCTGAATATACTGCAGCAGAAAGGCTGGGGGGAATGAATGAGACAAGAGAGGTGAGTTATGGCAATGCAAAGAAATATGTGTGCTTATTTATAGTCAGTGATCACCAAACTGAGATGCTTAGTGAAGTCCTGGTGTAATGCTCTAGGAGAAGCACTGGGCTGCTAACCACAAAGTTGTTGGTTCAAATCTGCAAGCTGCTCCTTGGAAAGCCTGTACTAGGTCACTGTGAGTCAAAACTGACTCAATGTTGCTTAACAACAACAAGTAGTAGAGGGAACATGTTACTTAATTTTAGTTTTTATTGTAGTAAATACATAATTTAAAAAGTCATATAATATAGTACTATGAGGCCCATAGTAACAACAACAAAACAAATTCTTCTCCATGCCCACTTTTCCCAAACATGTTCTTCTGTCACCCAACTTTGTAGTGCCTGTGGTTAGCTGCTGTCCAGTGAGCCCCTACTCACTTGGACAGGACTCCGTCCACGATGGGATAAAACAAACACTGGTCCTGCATCATCCCATGAACAGTTGAGAATTGGACAATTTTGATCTGTGGTGTGTGTTTTCAGTGGCTGATTTTTGGAAGTAGATCACTTGGTCTTTCTTCCTGATCCGTCTTAGTGTGGAAGCTCCACTGAGACCTGTTCAGCATCGCGTAGTAATACGAAAGTTACCGCTAACAATGGATAAGTGGTAATGGCATTAGGTGCATTGGCCAGGAAGCAGACCTGATTAGAAGGTGAGACTTCTACCACTGAACCACAATTACTTCCATTTTTTCTAGGTATATACTTTTAACTAACAAAAAACAAAATGCAATAAATTTATTTCTAGAAGTTCTCACTTGTTATAGAACATGAGAATTTAATTTTCTTAATGCTAGTCATTACTAGCTCCTCTCCCATCATCTCACATAGCAGTAACACATAATTTTAACTGTTTACTTAACTACTGTAATTGCATATCCTTTCTTCGGCAACTTTTTGTTGTTAACTGTATGTTTACAGTTCCTTCATTTTTTTACATTTACCTAGATTTCAAGGCACTATGGTAGTAGAATTGATGTATTTGAGTTATGATGTTGGAGAAGACTATTAAAAGTACCATGGACTGCTAGAAGAACATACAAATCTGTGTTGAAAGAAACACCGCCGGCGCGGAGTCCCCTTAGAAGCCGCCAGGATGGTGAGACTTCGTGAACTCTTATACTTGGGAAATATTAAGGAGGTACCAGTCCCTGGAGAAAGGACATCATGCTTGGTAAAGTGGAGGGTCAGTAAAAAAGAGCAAGACCCCCCCAATGAGGTGGATTGGCACAGTGGCAGCCGCCATGAGCTTAGTTAAGTGTAAGGCTGGCACAGGAATGGACACTGTTTTGTTCTGTTGTGCACCAGGTTGCTATGGGTCTGAACCAAATGGACAGCACTTGACATCATATTTTTAATCGCCTTTGAGAAGTAGACAATGAATAGGAAGACCTTTGAAGAATTGATACATATGAAATACGATGTTGGTGAATAATATTGACTGCCAGAAGACTGAACAAATCTGTCATGGAAATACAGCCAGAATGCTCCTTAAAAGTGAGAATGGCAAGACTTCACTTCATGTACTTTGGATATGCTATCAGGAGGGATCAATCCCTGGAGAAAGAAAATCATGGTTGTAAAATAGAGGGTCAGCAAAAAAAAAAAAAAAAAAGAAGACAGAGATGGATTGATGGTGGCAACAGTTGGCTGGCACATAGCAACGATTATAAGGATAGTATGGGATCTGGCATGTTTCATTCTGTTGTATATAGGTTGCTATAAGTTGGAGCCCACTACACAACACTCAACAACAATAACCCCCACCTTAGGAGCTCTGGCGCAACAGTTAAGCACTTGGCAGCTAATTAGAAGGTCAGTTTTTGAAACCACTAGCTGCTACATGGGAGAACAATATGGGAGTCGGCCTCCATAAAGATTATAGCCTTGGAAACTTTATGGGGTGCTATATTGTAAATATGAGTCAGAATGGTCTTAAAAGCATTTCTCAAAGTGAACTTAGATACTTCTAGGAGTTGGAACTGACTTGACAGCAGTGGGGTTGGTTTGAGTTTGGTCTTTACTTAGGAGGCATTTTCCTTGGAACTTTCTTCCTTTTCCTTCCTTCCCCCTGTTCTTTAATTCTAGTTTGAGAAGATGAGAGAAACCATCTCTTTCTTTTCTCTGTATTGCGTATTTCCCATTCAGGTGTTTTGTTTTGCTTATTTGTTTTTGAATCTCATGTTGGAACCTTTGCTTAAATGTTTGATAATTATTTCTGTATATTTTGGCCTGAGACTAAAAATAAAATTGGAGGCTAAGCAGACTGAGGTAAGGATCGTTAAGTAGTGGTTTAACTGAAGGCTTCACCTTATGATATTTCTCAGGGACCCTTTTACTTTCTCCAGAAAATATTGTATGTCAGGTTTTTTTGGGGGTCTCCCCAGTTTTTTGGTTTTTTTTTTTAGTCTTTTTTTTTTCTTGAATGTCTGATACATTTGTCAGACAGTGCTCTAGGTGCTGGGAATTTAACTTAATTTTTTAGTTCTGTTTAGATTTTTTTTTTTTAATGCCTACATTTATAATAATTTCCCTGTAAGCAGTGCTTTAAACTACATCCCAAAATCTTGTGTTTTCATTTTTAATTCATCTTAATGTTATTTTCTAACTTTCCTTGTGATTTCTTCTTTGGCCCATTGGTTGATTAAGAGTATGTTGTTTAATTTCCACATATTTATGAGTTTTCCATTTTCTCTTCTATTACTGATTTTTAGTTTCATTCAATTGGAGTCAGAATGGATAGTTTGTATCATTTCAGTCTTTTTAAATTTTAAGACTTGTTTTTGTTTTATGCCCTAGCATATGGTTTACTCTGGGGAATGTTCTATGTATATTTAGGAAGAAATTCAGAGATGAGGTCAAGTCTACTATAGAAATTGTAGAGGCATCAGCGTATACATGGAATTTATAGCCATGAAACTAAGGGAGATCAACCAGGAAATGAGATAGAAAAAAGACATCAATCAGGGCAATTTGCAAAATAGAAAGAAGAGGTCAGAGAGGGGGAAAAACTAACAAGAAAGGCTGATGAGTGGCTAGATGTTAAATAGGAAAGCCAGGAAAGCTTTTCTCCAGAAGATCCTATTAGGTCACTGGACTGCTAGTCACAAGGTTGGTGGTTCAAACTCACCAGCCACTTCTCGGAAACTCTACAGGTTTGTTATGAGTTGGAATCCACTGAATGGCAGGCACTTAACAACAGACGAGGGTTTAGAAATAACCATTGGATTTAGCAACATGGAGATGATTTATTTCAATGTGCAGAATTTGAGTGTAATTGTCTTTGTGGTAGGTGAGGGTGGGTGTAACAACAATAGAACTTGATAGGAACAAATTCAAGAAATGGAAAGAAAAGAAAGACAATATGTTTAGGTAACTTTTAAGGAGTTTGCTATAAAGAAAAAAAGATGGGGGAGGAGACTGGTGGAAAAGGATTGTATTAATCTGAAGAACAATTTCAAGAGGTTTAGTAGGAGGATCTTAGACCCTGTCAATAGGCATAATATGTTAATACCGTGACCACATATTGAGGTCAGTGAAAGGCCTTGAAAGACAAGAGTCACTGTATCTTCCTGGTAGGGGAGCAAAACAGTTTCTCAAGAGGCTAGGCAAATACTCTAGGGGAATGGAAGCTCTACACCAAGACCCTTCCCAGACCTTGCCATTTTGTTTGCATCCTTTTTTGTTTACTTGTTTGAATATGTTGTTAAGTTCTATGAAGTTTTGCCTTATAGCAACCCTGTACAGCGTTTACGAGGAGCAGCTGATGAGTTTGAACCTCCAACCTGTGGCTACAGTCCAGTGCTTATCCTATAACTCCACACCAGGAGTCCTGTTTGAGTACGACTCCTTTCCATGGAGTCTGTGGTGGTAGTTGTGTGCCATGGAGTCAGTTCCAACTCATAGTGACCCTGTATTTATAGTCAAATACTAGCTATTTTGCAATTTACTTTTATTGTATCTTAATTTTTAAAAAATTCATTCTTTCTATAGCTATTCCTTGTACCAGCCTGGATCTTATATTCAAGTTTAAAATTGGACACGTTTGCTCAGAATTGTATACTTAGTGATGATCCATATCCAAATAAATACAAATTAGGATAAGCATTTTACTCCAATTAATTATAGTCTACCCAATCACAGGACTCCTGGTGTGGTGCTATAGGACAAGCACTGGACTGCTAAGCAAAGGGTCAGCACTTCAAATCCATCAGCCACTCCTTGGAAACCTTATACAGGGTCACTATGAGTTGAAATAAACTCAACGACTCTTAACAACAAGAAGCTAATGACTTTGAGCCACTGTTAAAATTTGCTTTTTTTCTATGTTGTAGGAATAGACTTTAAGATCAAAACAGTTGAATTACAAGGAAAGAAGATCAAGCTGCAGATATGGTAAGTGATGTAAATTTACTCATTTTTATGTACTGGAATGTTTGAAAGTTTGACAGTGAACTTGTTCCTTGTCATTTATTTAGATTTTGTGAGACTTGCCTCTAGAAAGCCAGGTGGCATTTTTTCAGTGAAGTAAAAAAAAAATATTTATCGGGGACTTTAGAGTCCTTTGGATCTGGCTGAGTGTTTTAATACTTACTGTATGAAATTGGGCAAGTTACACACTGTTTGTGATCTTCTTATATTTTTACATGTAAAATGGAGTTTGTACTGCCTATCTCAAAAGATAGTTTCATGAAATAATGTAAATAAAGTCTTTATTTTGTTCATTGTAAAGACAGTACAAAATGTCCTAAGAGAAATATTCATTTTCTTTAATGTGCTTATAACTTTTTATAGATATTATTTTTACCAGTTTGTATAGGGTTTTGCTGCATGGAAGTTCAATAAAATTCTTTCCATTTGTATTCATGTTGTGTTGTAGATGATTTAAAATTATAATAGCAATATTTTCCAGTGACTATTATGTGTCTTATTTGTATTATATGTAATATATCACATTACATGGTCATAATGATCTTAAAAGAAATGTGCTCTTTTCTTTAAAGCATTATTGGGATATAACTGACATAAAAAAACTACAACACTGCACATATTTAAACTTAGTAGGTTTCAACATGTGTATGTGGTGATGTGAAATCTTCACCACATTCAAAATAACGGAAGGACATATTAAAAACTTGTAATCCCTTGTTATCCACAAGGAACCACTGATTTGCATTTTGTTACCATAGATTAGTTTTCATTTTCTAATATAAATTTTCTAAAATTAAATCATTTTTTAAAAATGTTTCTTAATTTTGGGAGAGCAAAGAGAAGTCATATCTTTTTTCACTCAGCATAATTCTTTGGGACATTATCAATGATTTTATCTGTGTCAATAGTTGATTACTTTTTATTGCTGAATAGGATTTCAGTGTTAGGCCATGTATGCCACAGTATGTTTATCTACAGAAACGGCTGCAAGCACACATTGACAGAGAACTTCCAGAGGTTCAAGCCGGATTCAGAAGAGGCCGTGGAACAATGAGGGGTATCATTGCTGATGTCTGATGGATCTTGGCTGAAAGCAGAGAATATCAGAAAGATGTTTATCTGTGCTTTATTGACTACGCAAAGGCTTTCGATTGTGTGGATCATGACAAGCTATGGACAACATTGCGAAGCATGAGCATTCCAGAACACTTAATTGTGCTCATGAGGAATCTGTACCTGGACCAAGAGGCAGTTGTTCGAACAGAGCATGGGAATATTGAATGGTTTAAAATTAAGGAAGGTGTGTGACAAGGTTGTATTCTTTCACCATACTTATTCAGCCTGCAAGCTGAGCAAATAATCTGAGAAGCTGGGTTCTATGAAGAAAAACGTGGCATCAGGATTGGAGGAAGACTCATTAACAACCTGCGATATGCAGATGATACCACCTTACTTGCTGAAAGTGAAGCGGACTTAAAACATTTACTAATGAAAATCAAGTAAATTACATTGAGATGAATTACATCTAAGTGTAAAGAAAACAAAAATCCTCACCACTGGACCAATAAACATTCTTATCATTGGAGAAAAGACTGAAGTTATGAAGGACTTCATTCTTCTTGGATCAACTATTAACATTCACGAAGCAGCAGTCAAGAAATCAAACGATGTATTGCATTAGGCAAATCTGCTGCACAAGACCTTTTTAGAGTGTTGAAGAGCAAAGATGTCAGCTTGAGGACTAAGGTACGCCTGACCCAAGCCATGGTGTTTTCAGTAACCTCATATGCATGTGAAAGCTGGACAGTGAATAAGGAAGACCTTAGAAGAATTGATGCTTTTAAGTTATGGTGTTGTAGGAGAATATTGAAAGTGCTATGGGCTGCCAAAAGAACCACTAGATCCATTTTGGAAGAAGTGCAGCCAGAGTGCTCTTTGGAGTCCAAGATGGCCAAACTTCGTCTCTCATACTTCGGACATATTGTCAGGAGGAACCAGTCGCTGGAGAAGGATATCATGTTTGGTAAGGTGGAGGGTCAGAGAAAAATAGGAACACCCGCAACGAATTGAATTAGCCAAGTGGCAGGGTCCATGAACTCAAGCGTAGCAACAGCAGTGAGGTTGGCCCAGAATCGAGCACTCTTTCTTTCTGCTGTGCATAAGATCGCTATGAGTCGGTATCGACTTGATGGCACCTAACAACAACAACTTATATATTAAAAGACATTTCAACTGCTTCTAGATTTGGGTCTTTATTTATTTATTTATTAGTTTTTTGGTGTATCCTGTGTCTCTCCACCCCTATTCTTTTGTGTTTTGGTGAAAGTTTACAGAGCAAATTGGTTTTCAATACAACAGTTTGTATAGATTTTGTTTTGTGGTATTCTTCTCACTTCATGTTTACCATTTCCCTTCCTATCTTCTGAGCTTTGTCCCTGGGCAATTAATTGTTGCCCTTTTGATCTTGTATGTTTGATTGTTCTAAGGTGTGCGTGCATACCTTCTTCTTGTTATTGTTCATTCTATAGGTCTGTCTGTTGTTGAGATGAAAGTTGAACTACGAGAGGGAGGAGGGGCTTTGGAGTATTATTAATAAAGCTGCTATGAACATTCTGTACACATCTTTGTATGGGCCTATATTTTTGTTTTTTCTTTTTTTGGCATTATCCCCATTTACAAACGATGAAACAAAAGGACTTGGAAATAATTTGACCAAGTTTTCACAACCTATAAGTGGCAGGACTAGGACGCAGACATGCTTAGAATGTAGGCTCCAGAGTGACTTTATTTCTGTACTTCCTACTATAAATGGTGGTTTGTCAATTCAGTTTGCTCTTCTTTCCACTTACTATCGTTTTTCTTCAGTTACATCTGAATTCAGGTTATCTTGGGTTTTATAGTAATGGGACGTAATTAATGTTCAAAAAATCATAGCTATTATTTGGGGCGCTCTCATTTGGAGGGTTATTGTTAAGTGCTGTTGAGTTGGTTCCAACTAATAGCAACCCTGTACAGCTTTGGTAGCAAAGTGGTTACAAATCAGGCTGCTAATGTCATGGGGCATCTGTTCAAAACTACCAGCTGTTTTGTGGGAGAAAGATGAGGCTTTCTGCTCCCATAAAGATTTACAGCTTTAGAAACCCTGTGTAGGGTTGCTGTGAATCGGAACTGACTCCACGGCACATAACAACAGCATAGGGTTTTCAGGGAGTGGCTGAGTTTGAAATTCCAACCTTTCAGATCAAACTGACTTTGCTTATCCTACAGCGCCACACCAGGACTCCATTTTGAGGGTAGAATGTTAATTTTAATTTAGGGAATGAACAGAGAAAGAAGTTAATCACAGAGATTACTACACTGTATTTGGAAAGTTTAGAAGAATGAGGAGAGAACAATGTCCCATTATTCAAAAGAAAACAGTTTCAAAGAGCTAAGCATTGTCTTTTAAAGAAATTGATAAGTGTGATACAGATGTATTTAAATAGAATGCCTGTATTACGTGACCATGCAATTGCAAGTTATAATCTTAATCCATAACAGCTTTCAAATTTGATATAAATTTTGCTATTGAAGTATTTCATCCATGTTAATGAGGTGTGTCATAGATTCACTGTTCTTCTTTAATGTTGTATGTACAGTATTAATCCCATATCATACAACATACATGAATCTGGAGAACATTATGCTTAGTGAAATAAGTCAATCACAGAAACACAAATGTATGAGACCAATATTATTAAAAGCCAAGAAAAAGTTTTTACACTAAGAGGGGGTAAATTAACTAACTACAATGGAAGACACATACTAACTTGGGCTAAGGGCAAGACTAAATAAATAAAATAAAATTATGTTGTTGTAGGTGTTATTTAAGACTAGTGATTCTCTTTAAACAAAAATTCACATGATCATCGATTTATACTAATTTTAACTGGGAAATAATTCAGTGCATGAATTATGGCTCTGATATATGTTTCATTATAATTAAAGGTGATTTAATGAGAAAGGCAATCAACTATTTATTTTGTATTTCAACCAGTTTCTAGTCATCTTCCCCTCTCCCCTTCTAAAGATCCACCCATTATGCCAGGCATTGGACTTGCATGTGATGGTCTGTGCTCCAAGCCTCTCCTAAGATCTGGTACCTTTATTGACCAAGTTCAACTGAAATCTTTTCTGTACACACTTGAGGCCAATCATTTTCAAATTACTTTTACTTAACAATAAAAGAAACTGATTCAGTATGCATATATATGCATGTGTAAGCATAGGTACGACAAAAACCCACAAAGCTATTCTTTTTGCAGATATAGTTCAGTACTAAATTTGCCCTGTTTTGCCATCTACTCTTCCTTCTACATACTTTGTCATTTGTTCCTTGACCTTGTAGATGTATAAAATTCCCCTACTTCTCATTTTTATTCATGTGCTGCTTTTGGAAGTAAACAGCACCAAATAACTAGCATGAGTTTTCTTCAAAAGGAGAGCATCTTCAAAAGATCTTTTACTGGAATAGCAAGTTTTCTAGCATGGTATCTCCTGTTCCTATAATAACAATGTCATTATCCTAAATTTCACATTTATAATAGTTAAAAAATTTTATCAGACTTTCCCCCCTAATAACTGTGGATAATATCTAATAGTAATGAATGCTCAGGTGTGTGCTAGGTAATAGTAATGCTGGCTGTGGTAGTTACATTATGTATCAACTTGGCTGGACCATAGTTCCAAATCAGTTATGCAATGATATAATTTGGCAGTAATTATGTAATATTGTAGCTAACCATTTTGTAATCTAATGTGGTCATCCTCCATTTTCACAAAATGCTGATTTATCAATAACGACTGTGTTTGACTGAAGTAGAACCAGTGATACTTATAGATAAACTTCTCTTTATATATATATATATATATATATATAAATTTCTCTTTATATATATATTATTTCTTCATATACTATATTTATG